AAAAGTCAATTTTTAGTGAAATTTTGCCGGGAATGGGGCTTAAATTTTACCGATATTGTGGTGTATTGTTGTTCATGAGACTCACTTCGCAGAAAAAAAATCATGTTCTGTATCTATACAAATGTTCGTTTTTTGCACCTTAGTCCAACATTGTCAAAATGACAGTTTAATGTTATATAAGAACATGAAATTTTATAAAATTCGTGAATTTTCAATTGCAATAACTTTTCATTTTCAAAACAAACAAATCAAATTGCAGTTTATAGAAGTTTTTAACAAGTTCGCGGTAAAAAAAAAATCAGATGTAGCAGACATTGCGAATAACCCAAAATTAATAAAATAGTAACTAACAACATAAAACGTATGGCACGCATAGACGAATAATTGACGGCTGTACTCGCAACTAGTATCGGATTGTCGATGCAACAGTTACAAAGATCAAAGGACTGTACGCACTCGCTATGTTCGTCCAAAGATACTAGAAATACAAGATAGAGTTCTCACACAAAAAAAAAAGTGTTCCACCATGTTCCACCGAAATGCATGGTGGGAATACGAAAAATGGGACGCCCCTACAGCTGGATCTAAAAAAACTTGTCCAAACTTTCGTTACCAAGTCGTCGCGTATTTTATTATCAATTCTCAACAAATATACTAGATATAAAAACAAACCGATGTCACCCAGACAGTGACATCGGTGAATACATAATCTCCTTGGTGGCGGTAGAAATCGTTGCTATTATCCAAATAATACACAAAACAATTAAAGCATAATCATGAATCAGTAAAGAATAAAACAACAATACAGCGCAGAATCGCATGGCCGGACGCACTCTTAGTGAAAAAGTTTTCCTCCATAAGTGGTAAAGGAAGGGCGCCTTTTGCGTCTGAATATACTTAGCAACAGTAGGGCGCCCTGTACGTTGGGCACCAAGTATAGGAAACTTGCATGGTTAAAAAGAAGGACGCCGCCTACGTTGGGCACGACTTCCGCCTCATTTTTACAACGCGAGGACTCTAGTATCTTTGGTTCGTCAGACAAATTGTGGTGCCACCCCTGAATCAAACTGTATTTAAACAAAGATGATTCCATACACATTCTCAACACTATAGTGTAGCTTCAGACCATGAGTTTTTCTTTCTTTTACTGAATGTTCTTTTGGAAACCCCACTTTACTACCTCCTTTTTAAATCACAATTTACACATGCAATTAATTAGTGTTCAGTTCTCAATCACCTACTGTGCATCAACAATTGGAAATTTGCTTCCCATTGGAGTGTATAAAAAATTAAAATTTAAAACTTAGGCCTAGTAATTAAAATCAGGACATATAAAAAAAAAGTATTTAAAACGTATAATTTGATATTTAAAGAAAATTATATATCAAAATAAAACTAAAAGAAATCGCTGCTTAATGGCTATAATAACAGGAACATCCCAGCGGGAACAAAGCAAAGCAGAAAACATACAGCACAAAGAGACGGGAACAATGGAAGGAGCAGCAGAGTATCCAGTATGCAGTGGCGTAACGGCTACGTGCTCTCACTTGCAAAAGCCTGGGGCCCCGGAACCTAAAGGGAACCCCAGCGAATTCAAATGTTTTTAAAAACAAATAAGCTATACTCTTTTCTAAGCCAAATTCTGTCGAGTGATTGGGGCATTTTTAGTCTGCATTTTATTAAAATAAATTTCCATAAATATTTATCGATTTTAATTAGCTCGTTTTGTTTAGTATATATTTGTAATAGGCATATGTTTATTAGTGATTATTTAGTGGCGGATCCAGGAATTTGAAATAGAGAGGGCCTAGGGAGGGACTTTGACAGATTGAGGGTCTACCACCTCAGCCCCACCATGGTTGAGGCTGAGGTAAGAAAATTTACAATAATGCACCTCAAAATGGCCGGAAATGGCACTCTCAGACTTTCGAATTTAAATATAATTTTTTTTTTCTCCAATTTGTTATAATTTTGAAAAAGTTAGAGGGGCCCTGGCCGGCTACCCCGCCCCCCTGAGTCCACCACTGGATATCTTAGTTATCAAGTACACCTTTTATTGGTCAAATCACTTTACATAAACTTAAAATTTGAATGTGTAAAAGAAAGACATTAAAATAAGTCATAGAAAGCTAAAAACGCCGCCCCACCGGGGGCCCTTCGCCCCACCTTAAGGACCTGCCCAGGGTCCTCCGGCCCCTTCGTTACTCCACGGTTAGTATGTAGCTGGTACGTCGAACGTATCGCTTCGGTGAGTCGGCTGATACAAGCTCGTATATGTTCACTAAATATAATGGAATAAAATACATTATAAATTGACCATCACATAAATCGATACGTGACGAATTAGGAATGTCCCATCCATCACAACATTTTAGCATGTATTGTTTAATCCATTTTGTACCATATGTTTTACCAGTAGACCTAGGCCTATCTTGCTTCACTTTCTAATTATAAAGACAATTATTATTGGGTCTAGGCCAGATGGTCGAAATCTATTTTGCCGAACAAGATTGCCGAGACCACTTTGCCGAATCCCAGTTTGCCGAGTTCCAGTTTGCCGACTCAAAACAATGCATCCCAGTTAGCCGAAACCCAGTTTGCCGAACCCAGTTTGCCGAATCCAGTTGCCAAACCAAGTTTGCCGAAAATCAGTTAAAAGCAGTGAAACATGAACAGCAGCATAAAATTCACGATGGAATACTTACTTTTACCATGGACCTATTTAATACTAATAAGGTCCATGTTCTTACCACACTGCATCATTAAGAAGTGGTGGCACTATTTTTTCTCCATGTATATATATAGATATACATACACACACACACACATATATATATATATATATATATGTATATATGTATATATATTATATATATATATATGTATATATATAGAAAAAATGAAACAGCTTCAATAGTAGGCTTTAAGAACACTGATTTATTAGTATCTCGGATATTTCTGCCACTCATGTGGCCCTCATCTAGAATAATGGAAAACATCATGAATCATTATTATATAGGCTGTCTTATCAAAAAGTAAAGGCAGTATCACACACCCCCCTCCACACACATATATATACTTATATATACATATATATATATATATACATATATATATACATACCTATATATATATATATATATATTAATTATAGTAATTAATTATAGTAATAAAACGCATAAAGCAAAAGTGTACAGTAGCCTTAAGTTCTAATCGTAAAAACACAAACGTTTTCTGGCATCGCCCTTCATCAGGTGGTCATCAATCAGTAGATGCCTCAAAACATTATACAGTATGAAGAATGTATTTTTAGGCTGGAATAGTGAAGCATGTATTTTTAGAGGGCTTCAAAGGGCTTCCCTATTGCTCACTATTTCAAATTAAACAGCCATACTATCAGTGATTTAGGCTAGTTAATCTTAGGCACCAATTTCAGATCTATTAAGGCTAGAAGGTGTCTCGCGGGTATCCGCCCAGTCCTCTAGCCTTCAGCCTTATTACAGTAGATTTGAAAGTGGTGCCTAAGATTATAAAAGCCAAAATCAATGATAGTATGGCTCGCTAAATTAAAGTGGTGAGCAACAGGAAGCCATTTTGATGGTCTTAACTATTTTTTTTTTTTTTTTTTGGTTATTAAGTCAGAAATTACATTCGGTTTCGCCTACAATAATTACCATTATTACATTTAGTTCAATAAAGTTAAGTCTGAGTTTATAATCGATTTCGCCTACATACCCAAATTGTCGTTTATTACATTTTATTTAATAGTAGCGTGGTGCGCTTTTGTACGACGGTGACGACAAAATTCAAATTCGGCAAACTGGGTTCGGCAAACCGGGTTTCGGCCAACTGGGATTTCATGTTTTCAGTTAACTGGATTCGGCAAACTGGGTTCGGCAAACTGGGTTAAATTCGGCAAACCGGATTTCGACAAACTGGGAACATACCTTATTGTTATTGGCTCATGTTCTTTCTAAAATTACAGTTAAAGACGTTGCAGTATTCAATATTATGCTTTAGAATATTCTGTTATGCATATATATGTATATATATATATAATATGAATAAATTTAGTTGGCAATACTAGCAACGTATAGTGCTCGATACACGTGATGATGCAGAGCGTAAATATTGAAAATGTAGAACTTGTAGAACTGGGTATTATCACTCTACAGACTGTTTCATGCTAATGCAATCTTCAGGCGTGAGAGAATACAAGGATTGTGCGAGTATATGAATGCTAAGGCAGGTGAAAATGCAAATGAGTTAATTGTTTTTAAGTAGGTATTTGTTGCTGTGCCTGCATTTAGACAATCTTTTGTTTAGTGTTGACTGTTTGTCTGAATATATTATGTGAAGTTTCTCGGTTATGCATAGGTTGCAGCGTTTTGTTTTTGGGGAGTAAGCCGATGCTCTGTCGATGATTGACCATTTAATGTTGTATTATTATTATTATTATTATTATTATTATTATTAACAGTAAAAATAATATAGTAATAATAAGTTTATTTTCATTTTGATGCCAAATTGGCGTTCCATAAAATATCGCCAAAAGTCAAGTGGCGCAATGCAAAAGTCAAGTGGCGCAGTGCAAAAGTCAAGTGGCGGCGCACGCATTTAGGTTTGCATTGCGCCACTTGCACTGTGATTGTTTGTCCTTTTGGTGTAATATCGTCTTTGTAATATCGCCAAAAGGACAACTACAAGTAGCGCAGTGCAAACGTCAAGTGCACTGCAAACGTCAAAGTGGCACAGTGCAAAAGTCAAGTGGCGGACAACACATTTGGGTTTGCACTGTGCCACTTTAGTTTTGCACTGCGCCACTTTAGCTTTGCAATGCGCCACTCGAAGTTTGCACTGTGCCACTTTAGTTTTGCACTGCGCCGCTTGTAGCTTGTCTTTTGGGGGTTCCATCGCTTCACTGTACAAGTGAAAAATTCCATATTCCTTGTAAAATGGTTTACCCAAAGGCCTAAACACAGTCCAGAATCCATAACAAATTGTAATGAAATTTACACGCATATTTACTAGTTGTTTAAGTATCACAATTTTGAAAATATAAATATTTCATAACATATAATAACAGACAGGTCACTTCTAAGGTACATCACCAGTTTTCTGCCTCATATCTGCTATTTAAAGCTAGTTAAAACCTTTTCCGTTCGTATCAAAATCCAATGGTGAATGCATATACATATAGATACGCCCACTTATTTTTGGAGCCATAACTTTGTAGTGATTGAAGCTAAGATGTCCCAATTTTATCTATACAGTACATGTATTTTTATATATATTTTACCAGGGAACAGTGAACTTCCGTGTTCCCTGGTTTTACTTCAACTAACTTTCATCCATGTTAATTCAATTTTAACAGGAAAGAAAATCTGTTATCACAAGTTTTAATAATAAATTATTGGGTAAAATTCGATGTTGATCTTTGGAAGATGACCTATTGACCTCGTGTGACATATTAACGACCTAATTATATTGCCCTTTATACAATATGATAGGAAATGTATATTTCTACACTTTGATATCAAAAACAAGAAAAAATATTTAGTTGATTAAAAGTTGTGGGAAAAAATTACCCCCCCCCCCACCAATATCAGTCCTAATATTAAACAAAAAAGGTACCCTCTTTGTTGGTTTACATGCACTAGCAACCAGAAATCGCTTGAGTAACAAGGTGATTCTTGAAAAAAATAATGACAGGCAAAACGCAAGTGGTGCAGGGGGTTGTTCTGAGACCCTGGACTACAAGCACTGGTCTGAATTCGATATCATTTAGTAACTTATTACTTACTGTTGAGATGCCCTTATTCTTGAGGTAATTAGATTGATTTCTAAACACTCTACTGAAACGTGCATTTTCCTTTTCAGACTGGCTGTGGAGTATCGCAATTAGCTATACAGAAACAGCAATCCCAATATATACATATTTTCTGAACACTAGTAAAGCGTTTGATAGAGTAAATCACTGGTCTAGTCTTTGGAAGCATGCAGTTAATTTAAAGTGACCAACCTTATTGCAGATTTCTTGTTAGATAGGGTAAATTCTAGTCAAGATGTGTCAAGTAACAAATAGTGTGATACAAGTGGAGGGGGGTTATGTCTCCTCTGATAAACGATGCATAAAATGATGGTATCATACTAAGTACTCGTGATTATGGATGTGAGCTCAATCACATTAAAATTAATAATTTATGTTACGCAGATGATATGCTGCTAACCTTGCGCCACCATGCCCTGTAAAAGCTTGTTATCTTTGTCAGCAATTTGGTAAGAATTTGATATTTTTTTTCAAATAATTTCAATTCATTTCCCATGAATAGGAAGTTTAATGGTAATTATAGGACTGTTTAAAAAAATGAAAAGAAGTGGTTTATAGATGTTAATGGTTGAACTTAGACGAAGATAGTGGGTATTTTATAAAATAGGCTAACATATTTCGAAGGTTTAGGAACTATAGTATTGAATCAAATAAAAGTGACAAATTATTCAACCTGAACGCCATAATTAGCGTTTATTTAACTGTTTACCATCAATATTGTTGTTAATAATAATAATTTATTATTATTATTATTATTATTATTATTATTATTATTATTATTATTATTATTATTATTGTTCTCCCATATTATTACAAAAGTGAAAAATAGTGAAAACCAAATCAGATTGTTATTCTTTCATCATACAGTAATTTATAATAGGGTTCACTGATTTCCACAAGTTTCCTGACATCTGGTGGTAGCATTGTAATTTCTGGAGTATTGGTCTGTCCTTTGGATGTTTCGAATCCATTGCTATTAAAAGTGCTCTTATACCAACCTTGCCACCACGCAAAATATTTCAAGTAAGTGCTACATTGCCAGTCCACATTCCATATACTACACGGTTGCCATGACAACATCGATGTTCGAAATGGTATGCCAGTTGATTGACAATAAATCTTCATCATCGCTTCAGGATCTTGCAAGAAGTCATCAACATCAATAACGAGAGTAGGTTTCTTGAGATCGTCTTTGATGTGCACATAGAGCTTCCACATGTCCACAAAATAAAAATTATGTTCTGGGTAGTATGTTTGCATTTCCCTACCAAAGAAAATGGCCTTGAGCCACGGCACTTTAAACTGGTAACGTAGTGACATGAATACCTTTGTTGGATTCCGGATTAAAAATGTGTGAATATAACCGTCCGGAATCTTTTCAAACTTCCTTTGCAATGCGAAAGCAAAATCCTTTGCAAATATTACCCTTTTGCCTGGCATTTCCTGTTGAAGTAAGGCTTTTACATAATCATATGTATGGTAAGGAGCAAAGCTAAACAGGTTCTTGTGATTACCTTCAGGTCCATGCCAATATGCGGCTGCAAAGTTTTCGTGGAAAACTACGGATTCATCGAGTGTATCGATCGAGCGCATAAACGCGGTAGTCATACATCGAGGTATTGACCAGAGAACAACGCGTGTTTGGGTTGAAGATTCAGTAGCCATCATAATAAAGTATGCTGATCGTAAGGAACAGTATTAATTTCAGCATGACGTGGCGTGTAAACTGTGGCCCTGGTCACCGCCGTTATCAAGATTACTACCATTTGCTTTGTTCTCTGGTGAACAATAAAATTTAATTCTTTGAAATACACTCTACTAGCGCCCTCTTTATAAACCAATGACCGTATTTGCCTGGTCGTTCTTCGTTAAACACTTGCCCAGCGGTAAACCTATTAACGAGACGACCAGTCGAATAGAAAACTACTGTAGTAAATACTCGACAAAACAAAATGGCTGCATAGTTGACACACTGTGTAATCAAGATTGCTTCAGCTTGTGACAGTATGGGCAGGAAACAGTGA